TTTTTTTTTTTTTTTTTTTTTTTTTTTTTTTAATACAGCTAGAATTAATGTAGTGAATCTGTAATGAAATGCATTATCCTGCATGGAGATTTATCAGATTTTCCAATTGAATGCCATGCTTTGCTAGCACTAGCTGGAGTTCACCTGCGTGTTGGTGTGGCGTGTGGCTCTTTTTTGTAAAGAGTTAAGTTGAACACAAAAAAAGGGAACAAAGGTCAGCACCCAGCCGCCACTTGAATGTGAGATTTTTCTTTTTATTCCCCTTGATGTATACTAGGCTCTGTGTTATTAGTCTTAATGATGGAAAATTGTAGTGTTGATACAAATCTTTTTTTCAAAGTAGTAGGCGGGAGCTCCATTTGTTAGTAAGTTTTTTTGTGACTAAAAGCCACGGACAGTACATTTATGTAGCAGTAAAAGGCCTAGATGCTCTTTCCATAGCAGAGCTAATTATTCCTACTGTGACCTTACTGATCTACCCTGTTCCTAGTACATCTCATCTGCACGCCTGTTCCTCTGTGTAGATGGTGTCAGAGAATATGAAAAACCCTATAATGAAACCATTTTCATGATGGAGAAAGGCTACTGGAGTTGCACTTGCTACAAAGAGGCTCAATTATATGAGTAATTGTGATAATTTTCTACATTCATAGCCTTCAATGGGGAAAAAAGAATGAGAGCCACAAAGGAAAATTACTTTAACAAGAAAGTACAGAGAGTAAAAATGGAAGAAGAGACAAAAAGGGGGAAAAAATAACCAGAAAAAAAGTTTAAAAAATAGATCTGGAGGGAGGAATAGCAAGACAGGGAGAACAACAGAAATGCTCAAAAAGCCTATGTGCAGCTGTGTTGCACAATTAAATTGAATTTTTTTTCTGCAGTTGATGAATGTGACTACTGCAAATGTGCCTCTGTAGTTAGCTATCATTTGTTGTTCCGTGACAGGAAAAGGATAATTACCTCTCAGAGAGAATCAAAGGCTGACATGCCCTTTAGACACAGCCATGAATGCAGAGCTCGATAGAATGCTTGAATAAGAATCCAGTGTTCTGTGCCCCCTTCTACTCAAGAATAAATTTTGTTAAAATGCAAGAGCACCACCAGTAAATTTGTTGAACCCTAGGTGTTCAAAAATATGAGGTGCATCTATCGACTCATCCCATTTGCAAAAATAAAACTACATTTTGAATTCACTTCTATTATATTCATGGACAGTAAGATAGTGAGATATGCATTAAATTTCTTTTCCCAGTAGGGGTCTGATTCAACATTTCCTATGAAAGAACAGAAAGACACTATCCTTTTTCTCCAGGCTAGTTAGCCTATAATTTAAAACTGTCAAAAACACAATTTTATACAAAGTCTTCAATAAAAGCTTCTCAGATATAACCCAAAGAGGTTTTACTAAAGTTTGATTCAGACTCTGTTACAATATTTTTAAAGCTATAAATACATCTAACTGATATTTTGCCGTTCTCTTTTTTTTCTGTAAAGTATTTGAAGATTTACAAAGAAAAAAAAGCAGCATCCTTTCAAGGTGACTAAGCCTTGCAGCTTTTAAGTAATCAGAATGTATTCAATAGCATGTTGGGACCATTAATAGTCCAGTGAAGTATTGCTTAATGAAATGTATACGATATATGTCTATTTTTTTTTTGGCAAACATTTTAAAATAATCCATAGGTACCTTGAAAAATCTCTAAGCTGTATTTTTATTCAAAACCGCCAGCAGAAGAAGAGTCATGACTGCATTTATGTGAAGGCTAGAAGAGATGCAAAACAGGGAAAAATCTCTGAATGTGAGCTCTTTTTTCCCTGTGACGTTAGCATGCACTGCTCTTTGTAAGATCAGAAGCTCTCGAGTTAAATATTTTTGTACTTTTTAAACAAAGAGACTTACTTATGTTGACTAATTCCTTTGTAACATTTGTTATTGCTATACAATGAAAACAATGGTTTCTAACCTTCTTACATTGTTAGACAGATGTGGTGTAGTTTCACACGCAAATAAAAAATAAACAAAACCCCACCACAAATTACATCTGTTAATTTAAATCTACCTTATGAATATCTTTGACTCCTTCCACATTTATCTTTGCTGACCCTAGTGTAATTCACTTTAGAAAAAAAAATCTCTCTTACCCAAGGAACAACATTATAGCTTGGCAGTTCACATACTTACATCAGACTGAAATGATGGTTTTGAATCATAAAACATGTCATCAGCTTTATACCAAACCACCAATAACCTTTGTCCCGCTTGCCAGCCCTCCCTTTACTTGTCAATATAAGGCTTACCTGATTGTGTTTCCAATTACAGAGAAGGGAGCCCCTGGTCTGCAAGCTGCAATTGCTTCATCTCTACATTTCCTGGCAACCTCCACTAACTTTTGACCAGATTTATCCACATTGCCCACCAAAAAGGTTTCAGAAGTGTCACCATGGTAGCCATTGTAATACACCTAAACATATGCAGAAATGTAAAGACATTTTCTCGGTTTCCATCCAGAAACAGATCGTCTCCTTAACTAAATCCATTCTTTCTAAGACTGAGCTATATATTGCAAGAGACAGACCACGGGTAAGCTGTAGTTGCGAGAAAGAGACCAGAAAAGCAAAACATTGCAGAGGGGAAAAAAAAAAAAGGCGTGAAAGATTGCAAGGTGCGCAGGGGTTGACAATTAAAAATTCAAGAAATGCAAAAGTTGTTCATCTCTGCCCAGCAGCGCACCAGATGATGACACTGTTCAACCAGAAGACATGAGGCTAACTGGGCTGTATGTGAGAGGATGGGTGGGGGCCGTGCATGGGCTGAAGGGGGCCTTGGGGGCCCTTGGGTGCCCACCTGCCCCAGGTGCCCACCTCTGGGGCCAGGGACCTGCTCGCACCCCGCAGGGGTAGGGCATCGAGCCCCGGTGCTGGCCGTGGGTGCTGGGACACCCATTGGCGGCTGGCGGGGAGACCCGTCCCTCTGCAGCCAGCATCCCCGGTGGGGTTTTGGGGTGATGCTGTGAGCAGCTGGGCGAGAGGCGCGTGCTGCTGCCAACAACCAGAGGGAGCCCCACGGAAAGCACGGGCCAAATCCAACGCCCGCCATTGCGTGCTTTCTTCAATCTCATTTTTAAACTACAACGTGGCACTAACATTGGATTTTACTTCTGATTTCCAGAGATGAATTTTGAAAGAGAATAAATGTACTGTTCTGGCACCGTAAAGTTTCATGTGCTGAAAACGTAGCACCCTGTTGAATTAATTACGTACTACTTTTTTTTTTTTTTTTTCTTTGACATTTCATAGGTTTTAAACTTCACCTCTCCAGAAATTCTCTGCCGGGCACAGGAAACCCTGGCTCTGCACTATGCAGCTCTGCCAACACCCCATTAAAACGGGGTTTGCAGCTCTGCAGTATGGCAGGCAGGCACATAATTTTAAGACCAAGCCAAATTTTCCTCCAGAAAGACCAATCCCTACAGAAAGACAAATTGTAATGGTGCACAGTTTTGATCTTCTAAAACGTTTTTTTTCCCCTGAACAGTGGGCAACTATCCTTCTAGGACTAATAACTCACGAAGCTCGGAGCACTGAACTTTTGCCACTGGCGAGCTATTTGTGAAAGACAGACTCACATTCTTTTTGGTCAATTCCAAACTAAAAAAAAAAAAAAAAAAAAAAGATTGCTACAGACAGTTTATCCCAAGGCCAGGTTTGTGTTCAGGCCGAGATGTGAAGAAAATGCAGGCAGTTAGGAGCAAGAGGTGTTTTAAAGAAAGGTGAGTGCCAGCAAGGGCCCAACCGTGTTGCCACCGCTCTAGCAGAGAGCAGCTGCGATCCCCTGCTCTACGCCTTCCTCTGCCAGTCCAGGCTCCCACTAAATCTTTTTTTTTTTTTTTTAAATTTAATGCCTATTGGGCAGGTTTTAATCTAGCTAGTTCATATTTAAACTGAACTAGTTCATTTTTAGCTCTAGCAAGTACAACACACAAAACCCCAGCATTAAACATCATCATCCTGGAAAAACAAACACAGATTTAAAACATAGGAGAGCTTAAAAGTAATAGTAATATCTACTGCAGCCCATCAACTGCAATTATGTATTTTTGATGTTAATAAGCTACAACCACAGCAACTGTAACACGCTAATTCCTTAAAAGTCAATGAAAGAACCGAGTTGTAAGAAACATTAACCTGGTAATGACTGGCTGAAAATTGCACTATGCTGAGGATTCAGTGATGGATAATGCTATTGTTTCTACACTAAAATACATTTTAAAGGCTACATGATTCAACCCAATAAAATTTGTATTTAATCTATGAAATTCTACCATCTTAATTGTGCAAAAATGGATTTTCTTGAAATAATTTGTACATAACGTGAAGTGTTTACACTTAATAACCAGAATATTATTTAATCGTTTTATAGAACCTGTACACAATTACAAACAATTTGTTGGCCAATGTTTACTTTGATTTTTAGTTTGTCCACCAGTGAAACGTCCCAGTTTTGCTCATTAAAAATAAGCTAAAAGATCAGTTAGCAACACTGAAAAGTAATATTTTTTCCTCAGCTATTTGGGAACTGAGCAATTATCAAACAGCACAGTTCAGTTTTAAATGATAAAAAAACCCCTTACAAAGATAATCAGCAATTCCCATCCCTGCAGGAATCTTCAGATTCACAGAAACATCAAGATTTATTTTATTTTATGAAGGTAAACAGAAACAAATAAAAATATGTCTTCAAAAAGACCAGTAACATTTAGTCAGACGTTATTTGTAAAGCAGAGTGGACAAGATATGCACACCACATTAATATAAAACCGATTTGTATGGTTTATCATGGAAAGTACCTGTGATATGAGTCTACACTGTTTTTTTAATCTAAGGTGTTGTTATTATCTGGATGGATAAAACAAAAAAATAAAATGAACCTTAATGAGATACAAAGAAATCGGATGTTAAATACTTAGCTGTTGCGAACTGATTTAGTCTAATAAAATGAGCAAAGCTACACCAGTTCACCAAAGTAAAAATGTAGTCCAAAAATATACTTTAAAAATGATAGATCGCGCTGTGTAAACCTGACAGTCAGAATTCTACAATTAGAAAGTATGGAGATGGGGAAGAATTTAGAAAGATTAAAAAAACCAACAAAACAAACCCAGTTGTGGATCACATGTGAGTATGCCATGGGAAAAAGGTCACTGACCCTAATTTTAATAGAAAAAGTATTTTAGAAAGCTTGAATCTCATGCTCAGAGGTAGGTCTGCTGGAGATTTCTTCGCTTCTGCCAGTATGAAATTTGGGCCCATGGAAAATAGTATCAAGTTACCGAGAGTTGCTTTAATGATTAAAAAAGCTTGGTTTTATGAGACATCACTCTCGTGTATGTGACATATTATTGCAAAATAACGGTGAGATTCAAAAGATGTCTGTGTTCATATTAGAAAAAAATGGCACTTTGGGAAAATAAAAACATGCACAGTAAAAAGAAAAAAAGCATCTGCAAGGGACAAATATTTTTTTTTTTCCATAAATGAAATGAGAATTAGGTTTCCAGTTTCTGTACTTTCTTGCTCCTAAGAAAATCCGGCCAGTGTTTATTTAAATAGCTATAATTGACCATTCGCTGGAAATACTAAGTCACGGTTGTATCACACTATTTCTGTTTCTGCGCAAAAGGTTCAGGGCTTTTATACCAGAAATGGAACACAACACTACCTTCGGGGATTTTAATAAATGTAGGGAACACTGCTAGCAAAAGAGTTGCTGTCCAAATAGACTGACATACACAGGCCAATGTAGCCTCTAATGACAGAGTAAGATAATGACAGGCCCCACTCAAAAACAGCAGGAAGAGGAAGATCAATCTTGGCAGAGTGAAGGAAAAATGCTGGCTTTCTTCATGTTAGCTCATCTCATACATATCTATCTTCAGCTGCTGCCCAGTACTGTGGTGCTCTGCATTAACTACACAGTGGATCAATAACAATTACACCTTCTCAAAAACATGACACATAGCAGGATTGGGTTGACATTTCACTTAGGCCAACATTGATCTCAGTGCATCTGATTCCAGTCCTAAATTCAAGTCAGGCCTGGGTCTAGCTGGAATAAACACACAGTTAAAAACAAAAAAGGAAACCAGCTGCTTGTGCCTTGGCTCAGAAGTAAACAGCATATCCATCTGTGCATCCCCCATCTCCAATCCGCTATTCTTCCTGTTGCTACTAGTGATTCTAAAGTTGATCAAAGACTATTTTTTTATATGAATTACTCACCGTGACATCAATGTTGATAATATCTCCATCCTGAAGAGGTCGACTGAAACATAAACAGAAAAAAAAATAATAACGGTGACAGACAGTTCCCAACAAAGGGAATATAAGAATAAACACCTAATGACACATACATAAAAAATCAGGGGGTAGATATTTTGTGATGGAGGAAGGCAGAGGCAAACAGAATAACCATTTTTAATGTTCAGCTCTCACTACTTAGAGAACAAGTGTAGCTGAATATAAAATAATGAGAAACAACTACCAGAAAACATATCAACACCTGAAAAATCTACCATTATATTTATTCTTTTTCTCTCACTAGGGTTCATATTTTACTTTGTGAGTAGCTGAATGTATTGCAAATAAAAAAAAAAAAACCCACATAAATTCAAATATATTTATCCCTTATCCTATACTTATTTTGCTGGAGGGGAAAAAAAAATCAGACTGTACTGTTTCTTCTTCCCCACCACCCACAACCTCTAAACTCTAAAGGCATTATGCTGGTTTTTTTTTTAAGTGTCTGGACAAACAGGATAGGGTTTTTTTTCTATTTCACATACATTTCTATAACATCTACCAGCATTGTGTGGTAACATGATACGCATCTGCAATACGTTTACATATGACATTTAGTTAAGCTGAAGTATGTTCAATATTAAACACAATCTATTAATTTCAGTTTAACATTTTCATTCCCGGTGGTAAAATGTATATTATTGGGGAAATACCTGTCAGGAATACCATGACATACCACGTTGTTTACAGAAGTACAAACAGATTTTGGAAAACCTCCGTAGCCCAGAGGTGACGGATAGGCATTCTGTCTGATTATTTCATGATGAACAATGGAATCTATTTCTTCAGTTGTCATGCCAACCTAAAAAATCAAACATAACATCCTGTTAAAAAAGCAAAGATAGTTTCTCATATTTACTGAATGTGATTGCAGCCAAGCGTTTCAATGAAACCATGGATGTTTCAAATATGCTGCTTTGATACAAAACACTAAACTGTCTGATACACTTTATTGATATATTGGGCCTTTTTTAAAAAAAGGTTTTAAATAAAGCATGCAGTAGAAACGAGCACTCAAAGGTTCCTAGAAAACCTAAAATACTCTCTACTTCCTTTCCGTTCTTTTTTCCGCATTTGCTTTCTCAAAGACACCAATTTTCCATGGCATCTTGTTTCAGTAGCTGCTATAGAAATGTCTCATTTCGATGCTTTCAGTCCTTTAAAACAACATTACTTTCCCTTTTTATTTGTAAAAGAAAGGATTTTAATTCTTGTAACTGCCCAGTACATTTATCATAATGTACTTGTGCATTTTATGAAATTGTTTTCCGAGTATTCTTTAATTTTATAAAAGATTTAAATACTTGACTTCATATCTTGAGGATATTTTAGTTGAAGTTGCCACAGCCTGGATGATCACAGTGAATCTACAAGCACTTATCCATCATTTTTAGAAATCTTCATTTTTATGCTTGACGTTTTCTAGATTCATCTTATTCTCACAATTTTACATATTAAAAAAAACCTCTCATAAATCATTCAGCCATTTTCTGAGTATCCATGGAGTGGAAAATGCACATGCTTAAAATAACATTCTTCTCGCTTTTCTTTTGGACCGACTCTGTCTCTGGAATGGTTAGAGCTGACATTTGAAATGTGGTAGGGAAACCTCCCTCATTGAGAAGTGCCTTTGAGGGTTCCTCTGCAAATTGGTTTTGATTTGAATGAGTTTTGAGCCTTTGAAAATCATACTTCGTACACACACACTACAGTAGCTGTGATTTTGGAGGACTTTTTAGTAACATGTGAAATATAGGTGGGCTGTGGCGCAGGAGGCATACTTATCCATATATTGAAATATTCCACGATCACGCACAGTGAATACAGCGGAGCGCACTTGTGTACTGTGCTGAGGTTAAAACCAGGTCTATTTGCTCAGCTTGCATCTTGTTCAGCATGAAAATGCGGCTGGGCAGATGAGGAGCGATAAACCCACTCAAGACCAGGATTTGGGGTTACTGCGCAACCCTCCTGCTTTGCAGTAGCCATTGCAGGCTCTGCACTGGGATAGCAGCCGCAGCCCCGGTGCGCTGTCTGTATTGGATATTGCAGCCATCGGTTCTGGATAAATATAGGTTTGTTGCTCCTGCCTTCGCTCAGCCATCCATCATCTTCAGCCCACAGACAAACTGCACCGCTATGTACCAGATTGGGTGCTGTCTGCCGCTGCTCTGCCCAAGGAATTTGATGTGGCTTTTGGACACTCAGCAGACAGATCCGTGCTCTCTGCACGGCAGGCTTACACATTGTGAAAAGTTCCGCTTTTAACAGTATCTGCTTCACTTTTACAGGGGTTTTTGCTAGTTGGGCAATATTGGAGAGGCACCTACTGTGCACCTCACGCCTTATTTGGGACAGGGCAATCTGATGGTATCTAACAAAATACTTCCATGTCATAGAATTTGCTGCTTGATGCCCAAATCTTTAACTCAAGCCCAGGAAATGCTATGATACACAATACCATATTGTATTTTGAAGTCCCACAGGCAGTAAATGGTAATATCAAACCCACATTCAGCCCAAACTTTGTCTCTCTGCATCCATGCATTATAATGCACCTTTGTTATACTGGGGGATGTTACTGCCATTAGCTAAAGCACAGGCGAGAGCTGGTTTGGAGGGCTGCATGCAAGATGGGTTCAGCAAGACAACAGGAACAGGTGGAGGGATGGGGCTCTTCAGATAAAATAGGAATGCAGAGTTTCCCTTATGAGAATAGCCTAAAAGAGCTCGGTTTGTTTAGTCTGGTGCACCGAAAGCTGCAATAGCTCTATCCCTGCGTGAAGGGGACAGACTCAAGGAAAGGCAGGAAGGTGTTTAAATTAAAGAGCCGTGTTGGCACAAGAGCAAATGGGTATAAACTGGCCACGCACAGCGTCAGGCTGGAAAGCCCAAGACGCTCCCCATCGATGAGGGAGGGTTTTGGAGCATCCTCCCAGTCAGGGGAGTCTTGGCCAAACACTTACTGGTGTAAAATGGAGCTCACCACCTGTCGGCAGCTGAGCTGGGCAGTGGTCTCGGCACCGCAGCTCCAAGTGCCGCCCCCCTCCCAGGCCACAGCTCCTGGTCAGGTAATTCTTACTTTATACGCCACCTTGCTCCAAAACGTTCATTACTTGTATGTAGTATTTTGCTATTATGTATGATTTGGCACATACTATGAACTCGATCATAAGCTACACTGTGCTGCATACATATGTGTTTTACACATGATAACAACCAAAGAGTATTAGTTAAAAACTGCTCTTATTCAAAACCCACATTGCACCCTGATCCTTCAGAAACATGTATATGCCCTTAACTTTACATGAGTAAGTTTTACTGTACTGGGAAATAATTGCACATAAAGAAGTTAAATATGCACAAGCATATGTAAGATTAAAGCTTCAGGCAGTTTTGTTATTGGCCGCCCCAGCTCCAGAATTAAACCTCTGGGAAAGTGTGATGATAGCTGAATGAAAAATGCACAGTAAACTGATAATTTTTTCCCATTTTAAGTCAATGACATTAACCTAGAGTCCCCATCTATCTCTGCATCTCATAGCTACTCAACCCATTTTACCCTATCCAGTATGCTATTACACGAAATACCGAGGCAAGGCTAAAAAAGCACTCCCTCATCTGCAAAACCTGGTAGTAGGCTCCTCCCAGTACATTTTAACTTGGGAGGTATCCCAAAAAGCATACCGTAGAAACATTACTGGAAACCATGAGGCCTTATTATCGATGCATTCTGGAAAATTGCGTGGCATTTGGCAGCTGTTTTTTCCAATAGCAGCTCTACAAGTTGTGCCGGACCCTGCGACCAGCGAGGGGCTGAAGGATGGATGGGAACGGAGGAGGCAGCCCAGCCCTTCGGACTTGCACACATGCAGAGCTGGAAAGCACAACATACAAGGAAGATGGGCCATGAAATGAAAGGAAAAAATGTAGCGTGGGCCTTATGAGAAACTCACGTGATTTGGCACAATCTGAACAGAGGGGGACTACAGGCAGAGAGATATTACACCTGAGCCAGCAACTCACTCTAAGTACTACATAGGTCCAAAATACAGAAATAATTAAACAGGCATATCATGGACTGAATAAATTGTTAATAAATCCTTCTTTTTTCAGTATGTAACTTAAAGTTGGATTCACATTAAGGGAAAGTAAAAAAAAAAAAAAAAAAAGGTAGGAAAAAAACCCAAATAAGCGAAAGCATAAAAGACATCCAAGCTGTTATAGGACTTCTGTAATTGTTACCTTTAAGCCCTTTCCAGCCAGAAGCAGGACATGACGGGCCAATTGACAAGCTTGACGAAGCCCTTGAATCTGATCTTCATTCTTAATTTCTATGTCGTCTCCCCAGTCTGGTACAATGCCTGTCGTCACATAGTCTGGCTTCTTTATGTGCTTGGAGAAAAAGGATTGAAAATGAAGATCAGAAAACTGAGCATGACAATGGGATCATTTTCTCAGATACTGCCTCCTGCTTCATGGCAGCTTGCCCTTTCTGTCGTAGTATCGACCTTCCTAAGCCATCAGGGCAAACCCTCAAGGCTGCCTCAGTATTTCTTCCACTGCCCTTTTGAACTTAACATTGCCTGTTACTACTGACTTACACAGTCTGTTAACCTTCCAGTGCTGAAACCCCAGATACTGCAGCCAACTTCCAGCACAGACAGTCGCAAGTTTGAAAACTGTGAGAAAGAGACTTAAACACTGTTTACTTTCTTTTGCAAAGAGGCACATTTTCTACAAAAGGCATCTAAACACTGGAACTGACGGGACAAATATACAGAACTAGGCTCAAAACCAAAAGTGATCAAATCCTTAATTTCTCGTTCAGACAAAACTCCTATTAACTTCCATGAGATTGCTTTCTGACTATGAACCTTAGGATTTAACTTATTTTAATTTAGAGGTTTTTACTTATCAATCTAGTTCATACGTTGTGCCCAAATTCATCCATCTACAACATTATGCAGGGGTATCCCAATTCGCTGTGTCAAGGAAAGTGTAATAAACTTCATTTTTTGCACATATAAAGTTCTCAGCCCTCATACAGAGGTGAAATTTCATTTTGGATTTTCTTAAATCCACAACAATTTCATGACACGTGTATAAACAAAACTAATAATAACAACGGTAACATCTTGCACAGAGATGGAAATGCACTTTCTCTCGGAGGGTCATGGGCTGTTTCTCCCCCCCCCCCCTGCCACAGCCAGGCTGATCCTCTGCCACGCCGGCCACAAGGCGAGTTTTGCACTGACTTCACAAAATACAGAATCAAGCTGGCAGGCATAAGGCAAAGCGGGCACTTGGGCTGTACACAACAAGACCATACAACAGCAGGGTGTAGGAGTAGAGAAGAGTGGGGCAACTGGTTAGCTCTAGTGGGACTTTAAATAGGAAGACTATTGTTACTCCTGCGGGTATTTAATTTCTACTCTGATAAAAAGTGAAACTAACTTTAGTGGACTTGCATCAACAGAATTTCAGATTTACATTTCATTCAAATCAGTGGCATATCAACCCTAACAACATCCTATTGCAGTCGTTTGGGACTTAATTTAGAAAAAAAACCCCACCATTTGCTGGATTAGCAACTCCATACGCAGCAGCACCCTTGCTTTCCCCTTGGAGGGCACTTACCTAGCAACTGCTGAGACCCAACCCTGCTACCTGTAAGATCTGTTAACAGAGAAGCCCAAAGCAGCGTACATACAAATGTCTATGTATACAGTTTCACACCAACATCTTGAAAAAACCTATGTTACTTCAATGTGGTTTCTGGCATACTCTGTATAAGGTAATAACTTTGCCCTCAAGTTTTCAGAGTTGAAGAACTGGACTGATTTTTTAGACAGAAAACTGAGAACTCTGATCTGTGAAGACAACTTTTCAGTATGACAATATATTTCTCCCTCTTTATCCTAAAAGAAGCATCTAAATACAGGAAAAAAAAGCTTGTAAGTTCTACAGTTTTTACACCTTTGAAAATATATAAAGCATGTAACCCTATGGTCTCCCTGCACACAGAGCTTCCACAGCCTTTTAGATGTAAGAGCCCTACATCCAGCATCCTTATCTGCTTTCCTATGTAACAACTTTTTAGTATTTCTGGCCCGTGGAAATACTCTATATTTCGCATAAGAAATCTATAATCAAATTAAAAGTAAAACTTAAAAAATACAAATACACACCCTGAAAAGCACTGTTTAGAAAGGGTACTTCGGTGTTCTTTTGGCTAAAGAAAAGGTACTAAACAGTTAATCTGTGTGCTATAATTAAATGGCACAAAAAATAAAAAAAAAAGAAAAAAGAAAAAAGGAAAAAAGGAAAAAGAAAAATAAAAAATAAGGAAAAAAAATTCAAAAAAGAAAACAGGGAAACCAGAAGTGGAACACATGTTAAAATTGCATGAAAAAGTTCCTTTTGGTTCTAAAGTAAATAAAAACACAAGTATTGAAAAAACCACTCAGGGACTAAAGAATGTGCAGTGGGGTTGCAGGGCAGCTACCAGCAGGTATTGTACTTTCTCTTCCTAAATCTGACACAACCCATTAACAAAACCTTCCACAAAATATAAACATTTTTATAATTAACTTGCTAGAGATTTATACAGAAAAGGACTCAGATGATCATGAATGATTCCTACTGGCTTTTGGTAGGGCCATTGTCCAAAACAAGAATCTGGACCCAAAAGTGTCAACAGATAATTATATTCCACATTTATACTACCATAACTGAACAAGACCCAGATTTAAATTCCCTAATAACTAGATACACCACTGTGTTTAACATGGCAGGCAGCTGAAAACTTCTCTCACCAGCGCTCCTACTTCAAATACCAGACCAAGCAACGGGATGGTGATACAAATCCCCAGCTGTCGGACATCAAATACACTTGATCATGCCTGCAGCCAAACTCTATACTGACTGAAGAACAGATTAGGTAATAGAAATTGCAGTACCTTAGGAACTGGGTGAGCTGGAGAAACCGTGGCTGGCCAAACTATACTATAAGCAGTATTTCTTTGTCCCTGAAAAAAGAAGCATCGTCGCTGTTGATTGCTCGACTGCCTGTGCAGGCAGATACGATTGTACGAAGAAAAGATTACGTGGCAGCCAGTCACAGAACCTGTTAAGAGATAAGTGAAAAATGGTTAACATTTTTTTCTACTACCATATTACAAAGTGGAAAGTATGCAAAAAGAAGGGCATCATGTAAAACCATCTACAAAACTCACGTATTAGCCAAGGGTAGTTCAAATTGTTCAAGTCTTGTACCGTTAAAGAAAGAGCATTGAGAAGCAATGAGAACAAAAAAATCCCTAAACAATACTTTGAAGCTTAATAAACCAGATCTATTTTGATTTGATGCATTAAAAAATAGTGGGTAAATGCCCCAAAGCTTACAGCCAGGAGTGGCGCTCCAGCTGGCCTCTGCTTGTAGCCATTTGCATGGCTAGAAGCTGCAGTGTTCAAGGCTTGGGGAAACGGTGAATATGGGACAATAGCAAGAAAAGAGGAGAGAAAAAAACTATTTAATGTTGATTTCAGCCAATATTTTCACTTGTATTTTTACAGAATGGGTCACAGATTTGAGCATAACCAAGTTAATGTTGCTCTTGTCATTTGCGCCAAGACGCAAGGAATGGGCTTTAATTTGTCCTGCCTAGCAAGGCAACAGAACAAACTTCAAGAGATATTTTTAATCTTGGCCAAAGGGATTAAAATATGCAATTGACTTGCAATATTCGAATCAGATTTCCATTTAATTCACATGGGAATTTGGGATGACAGTTCATCAGAGTATTCATTGTTCAAACTTAGTTGTCGGGCAATGACACGTTTTTTCCCCCCTCAAAAAAGAGGGGGAAAAAAACAGGGAGGAAAGAAGAGCACAGAGGCCCAAAGGTTGTCAGAGACATCAAAACCAAAATAATGCATCACAAAAGACGATGCTAGCATCAAAACTGGGAAATATATTAAATTCAAAAGGATTATTGACACTGCCCAATTAAAAGACAATTACATGTAGTGCATATTTCCATTACTCAAACATTCTACAATCTAAACAGAGGGGGTTTTTGAAACATAAGTTTCACATAATAGTTAATCTGCTTCTGAAAAATGTCATAGGTATACAAACACAAGAGCAATCTTCTGTGGCAAGTACCCCATATGTGTAATTACTCTTTAGTAAAAACAAAGTGTTTTCATTTAAACAGAAGTAACTAAACATTTTTATATCACAGAAACTAAGAAATTAATCTACTGCATATTTTGTACCCATGTAAAAATGATTTATTTTTTTTTAGAAGAAGAGTTTCTTCCGTATCTCGTACGTGTTTATTGTACCTTCTTTCCTTTCCTTTGGATGCATTTATCATGTCCAGATGCAGAAATTATCCTTCCACAGGCACACTTGGCTTCATAAACAGCCCTTTTGCAGCATTGCATGATATACAGGAGTTTTGAGTTATGCACCTTTTTTTTGGAGCCCCCAAACCCAAAATGAATTAAATAGTTGCATGCAGTTTGCTTTAAACTTGTTCCTGACTCTTCGTACACTGATCAGTGCTACATTTAGTTACCAATATCTGAATTTGTGTAACACCTGAAAGGTTGTGGAGACTTTTACTCAATGCAAGCAAATTTTTACTGTTTTTTAAAAATTGATTATAAGTAATAAGGCAGAGTTGGAAAGCAAGGCTCAGACCAAGCTCTCAGTATAACCTAGGTACCCCAACGGAAGCCACCTGCTTCAGGCGTCTCCATGGAAGCGGAGTTGCCCACTTAACAGAGGATGGACTGGTTTGGTGGTGTTTTAATTATCATTTAATCAACAACCTCATCATCTACTGCTTTCCTAGGGTCTCCTTCACAAGAAAAAAATAATTGTCCGATTAAAAAAAGAATAAATCTGGGCCATCTAACCTGCACAATGTGTAAGTACATCCAAAGAGCCCAAAGCATCCTACAAACTCCCTGGCCGGTTTGCACTAGCTTCTGGAAGCTGGAAGCACAGAATCTGCTGAGGCAGCAACTTTTGGGCCATCAGAAGTAGCAATCCGTCCACCAGCATAAGCTAAGGTAGCTCTTCCACAGAGTGCAGTAGAAGTACGTTGCTCTTACCACAGCTGAAGGTATTATAAATATATTGAAAACCCACACTCACTGATGTAGTCAGTTAAAGTCTACGTGGACATCAATATGTGGACGTGTATTTCAAATGCTCTCCCTGATGCACGGCATGCTGCCCAGGCACCTAGTCTACCGTGTAAAAGTTTAATTGGAGAAGAAAAGGTGCAAGTGTGCTTGTCAATTATTCAACAGTAAAACTCCAAACATCCCAGATACACACTTTAAACACATTAACCAGTTTATATTCATAGGTGCCTGCCTATCGGCTATCCCACATTCAGAAGGGATACCTTTTTATTTGGAATAAAATTCTTACTTCTGTTCTCCCAAAGATACACTCTTTAAGTGTTGTCACAAGGTAACAGGATAATAAGGTACTGTAGTCTGTTGTTACTCTACTAACTACTCATTATAAACCAGACTCATACAAAAATATCTACTACTTGAACAGGTGAAATGCGACAACCAAATAAATATCACCATAGTATAATTCAACTTCCAAAATACATCGCAAGAATTATAAACACAGGACAACTAAACCTTTATTCGAAATACAAAAAATTATAGCAGAAAACATTCTCCTACAAAGTAAAAAGAAAATGAAATAAAATGGCATTAAAATATAATGAAGTTACTGCTTTATAATGAAAATCTGGACTCCATCCACACACTTCCTTCCTTAAGAAGGCCTTCCTAATGTCTCCACAGCTGCTTTTATTTTTTAAGCTCCCATATTCACAGCTAATTCGATATAGCAACATCATCAATCACTGGAGACAGGAACAACTGGCTGTATTCTCCAAGTCTGGCTCACATATTCCCTCCTCCCCATCCCCTACACCTATCAAAGCTTTTCTCGGCGCCTTATTTACTTCTGCCACACTGGCACTCAAGCACATCCTTTTCGCTGCGCTTTCTGTGTATATTAATTACTGTAAGATAGTTCAGAAACGCGGGATTTGTGCAGCTGCCAGGGGCAACTGCAGCCGTCGGCGCGAGCCCAGCATTTGAAGCCGGGCAGCCTGGTAACGCGCCAGCACAGCCCGGATGCCAAGTTGACCCCTTACGCCTTTCTTTCCCCCAACAGCAAGGCCACGTCACTTGCCACGAGTTAACAGAGTATTTGCTACCAGCTGCAATAAGGAGAATTATTACCAGCGTTACTGAATCACATCAGCAGATACGATGTACCGAGCACGGAAAATTACAGACAACTGCTCCTCTGACTCGACACTGAATCACACTGTGCAATCTGTATGCACGCATGTCCTGCCGGAGCCGCGGGATTCCTCCGCATACCTTCCAGACCTTAATTTGTATTAATAATATAAATATGCACTGTGAGCTTTTGTGAATTACCGGATGAATTTATCTTGCGTGGAAATTACATTTTCTTTTTCTTTTAAACGAGTCAGCCAAAGGGGCTGAATACAGAATTAAAGTATGATGATGGGTGGGAGCATTTTAAGTGACTGATTTTGCAGCACAATGTGCCCTATATTTATTAGCCTTTTACTCTAGGTCTATTTTAATTGTTATCTGTTCATGCATGCTACACTATATAATGAAATGCTCCCATTTCACTCACAGAGTAGAGAGTTTTTTATGTGTATCTCTATTAATGACCCTTAATTAAGTTGATTTTAGTCATTTAAATGTGATTTTCCTCTGGTCAAGAAGTATTTTTAAAGGGAGATGTTGGAAATGAACTCTCACATAAGCCCTTTTCTAATGCTTCTTGTTTAACAGTTACAGCAATTTATCAGCTATGTTTTCAATGAATGAGGTGTGGGGTAGACATGCAAAAAACTGCTCATCTACACGATTCAGCAAATGTGGCTGTTAGCAACCATTTTTTTTGTATTTATTTATGAAAGACTTCAAATTTCCCAGCAATTAGCAAAAATGTTACCAAAGAATAAACTTCATGACAGTTCCAAGCTACAGTAAATACAAGGGCACATCTTAAAAGAGCCAAGAAATAAAATTAACATATTTTAGAATAATTTAGTCATAGTATCAACAGAAGCATAATTATTTATGGATTACAAGAATTAACATCCAACTGATTTAGGAAATAAAATCAACTTGCTCTTGATAAAGTAAATCTTACTTAATACGTATGAAAAATTAACAACATCAAAAGCATTGTTCAGATAACTCATTTTTAAATATGTGATTCTATTTATATATATATTTTAAACTTAAAAAACCAATGACTGTGGACATTTTCTTTGTATACATGCGTTTGAGAGTAAATCACTAGAAATCTTTAATTTGGCTTGTCAGGTCATTTTAATATTATATCATAATTTTGCTTCTTGTGCAAATATTCCTTTTGCTGAAACTTCAGAGGAATAAAGTTTAAAGTGAGGTATCAAAAATCACTATGGCTAATAATATGTGGAATCCAGCCAATGCAACTAGGTAAGAATATATAGCTTTTTACTGTTAATTACCAAATGTTCCCATTTTTCAATCCAAAATAATGTCTGTGTTTTGATAGATCTTCACTTGTAATTGTAATTCTAACTGTCTTAATGAAACACTGACTTTGTAATCCCCGTGTTGCAAAGGTAGGTCCAAGCTTCAAAAATAGGATGGGAAAGATTAAAGGTTCTCTCCAACTCTATGTAACCTGTGTAGCAGAAGAGCAGCTCACATTTCACAAGCAATAACCTGTGCATTTGCTACCAAAAAAAAGAGAGAGAGGGAAAAAAAAGAACAACATAGGGAAATGCCTGAGGCAGAAGTTGAAACTGATTGGGCAAAGTAGAAGGACAAGAGCCCTTGAAATTAAACAAAAGCAAATTCATTCTGGTGACAGATGTTGATTACATCAAAGCCACGAAAGAACTTTTTCTCTGTTTCTGTTTTTCCCTTTTTGCAACTAATACCTCCGCGTTTTCTGTACATTAAGGATATAACATATCTTAATCAACATAACCCAACACGTAATAATTTTTAAATTTGGTAAAAGTATATTGTAACGAGGTCTTAACGACAGGCTTCTCCAAACAAGAGTGTATTCACATGGTCATGTCTGCATACCCGTGCTGGTCACGCCATCATCAGCCCCTTACTTCCAGGGGTTAACTGCTCTGGCAGCCAAATAAAATACAGAGAGCGCTGTGTAATTATGGAGACAGTCAAAGGGCAGACTCTATTTTGAAATCTATTTGCACAGACAAGGTCTTCCAATTTCGCTTACAGGAAACAAGCTGGTAAAGGGGGTCTCCTCCTCTCCAGATGCTTTCCACACTTTTTTCCCACATCAGGAAATCGTGGACATGGACACCATGCAGCACCGTTTCCTGGATTGCAGGACTATGTCATTACAAGGAGAAGAGCAAGTCCATGCTCGTGAGAAATATTTCCTCCTAATTGCCCATATTAGGGGAAAGCAAAACCCACAAGGACTACTGAAAATGTGACTAGCAGCAATTTGTAAACAGGACGCAGCCACAGCTGTCATGATGGTACTGGAAAAGAGAAAACAGAAATGAAAGGGTAAAAACACTCTAGTTTTAATAGCATGATTGGGGAAATGAAATATTCATCAGGATAGATGTGACTTCAGTTACAACAGCAACACATTGGTGAAAACCTCGACAACGGCATGCTTATGACCGTACCCAGAGAAACCGAAACACGGACCACTATCTTGCAAACATTATATTCTAATTGGCATTGTTTTATTTAATTATTGAACTTAACTGGAAATTAACAACAGAAGTTGTTTAGGTAATAAAGGCATTAACAGAATTGCTGCTCTCGTTACTCTCTTAAGAGCCAATAAAGCAAGGCAATGGCCAAACGCCGACCGACTGTAAGGGAGCAGAGTCAGCACCTCTGCCGACACCACTGGGACTCCTCAATGACACTGAAAAAAGTCAAGTTTGGCCCTCAGGACCAGTTATACTCCCCGCTAATTAAAATTTTGCCCTTACGGCACGGAGAGCGGAACCAGGCAATTTGCTTGCCATATGCTAATACAAATGAGTTTTTAAATTGGGTGTAAATTTATAAACTATATAGAAATACATTCGTGTTTGGCTTTACTTATTAGGACTTAGTCTAGACCAGCACACTAAAATGATAAAGCAGTGCCTTCTGGAATAGTGCCGTTCTTTTAATTCATTATTCAGTCAAACTTCGGGCCAACAAAATAGCTGTTCTACAAGTTGGTAAACTGGGAAACCACAGAGAATCAGAACGTCTTCTATTTACAGGAAGGATGACAGCCTAAGGGTACTTCAACCCAATAATAACAACATTCAAGTAATGGTGCCCAGGTCATGACAAGCCATGACCCTCCCCATAGCTCCTTCAGGAAGCTGGCTCGGTGCCACCTTTTATCAGCAGCAATTGACAGTGCAACTTTAACAAACAAGAAGGAAAGGAAAAATTAATTTTATATCCTTAAAAACCCCTTCGACCAATTGAGCAGTTGTGTATATATATATACACACACGCAGAGTCACACCAAGCCAGTATAAGAAATAATCACTGACTGAGTACAATTCTGGTATCATTAAACAGCACTTTCCCATTTTATTATAGGATTTAAAAAATATAAAGTACAATCTAACTACATCTGAATGATATTCATTCATACAGCAAAGGAAATTAGTTGTCTATTACAGAAAATGGGACTGGGCTGTACAGGCTTAACTTTGGGAGCAGGGCATTGTAGTTCTCTAATAGAGCCTTCCATCCTAGTGTTATTTCTATTACGTTTTCTCTCTCTGACACTATAACACAAGTAGAAAATAAAAAGAAAGTGTTGCCTAAAGCAGTATCACACCAAAATGAAAGAAGTCGGGTACAAAAGCTGGACAAAGCAATATTAAGAGTTTCACACACAGCTAATATCAGGGGAATTTAGGCTCCAGATCACAGCATCTGGCAAGTTTCAACTTCTGTGACTAGCAGGAGAAACATTCCTCTTATGTTACTGCATTCCCGTATTGAGTAAATTAATTTATCATAAACTGAATAAATTAGAACGAGAAACATATCTGCTCAGGTTTGCATATTTAAATACATCTTTCAATCACTTTCTCTCTATCTTTAGGTTTTTTAAAAGATCAGAGGAATTACTTTTGCTTGAAAGACTGGGTATTGTATTCATTATTTTGATTTTGTAGGGAAGTAACAACTGTTGGAAAAAGTTACTCAGTTTAAAAAATAGCCGTTGTTTCAGATTAAAATAATAAGCTATTCAAATAGTCCTCACACACACACACACAATACCAAATCTTGTTGTTAATATGCACCCGCCCACAGCTTTAACATTCATTGAATCCTACTGGGATAAAATCTTTTCAGGTGCTCTGTGAAACAACTGTTTTTCAACTGGCATGGTTATGTCCTATATACACGCCTGATACCGTATTAAATCTTAAAAATAAATCCTACTTTAACCTCTTAAATTTCCACCTGAAATGGAAAAAATATGTCTGAATCACCACAAAAAAAAACGTTTCCCACAGAAACCCTTCTAGTGGGTGAGCAAGGCTGCTGAAATACAAGTAATCTTTGCATAGACTATTTAGGAGTGCTCCTGAACATCGTATCGGGATTTTCTGCATAGGTTGAGACACAGGAAGAGAATGGGCAGTCAGGAGTCTTTTCCCCACACAAAACATAAGACCCATTGCAACAATTATTTTCAATACACCTGCAGCCGAAGCTCTAAGGATACAAGATCACTCCTGAATCGTAAGCCAGTCTTACCTCAAAATTTAAAAAAAAAGTGTGCACTGCTAGCAATTTTGGGATGAATACCTTAATAAAATAAGGTTACATTACTACTCATTTGATAAAAATGTCAGTTAGCGGTGTTTCTTGCCTTGTATTGAGTGTTGTTAATTACTTGTCCTGTTTTCACATGAAAACACAAGTTACATTAGGACAGTGAGTCTTTACTGAGCAAAAAGGTACGTGTCCTTCGCTAGAGTGAAGAGTGTAAGGTTAGGGGACTACATCCTATAACCCAGACTTCAAAATATATGATCAGAGAGGTGTAAGAGTTTACAGCTGTTTCTACTAAACTATTGTGGTGGTGGTGGAAACAAGCTCTTTTTTTTTTCCAAGAAGATGCTCTGCACAAGGAAGATGTTCCAATCAAGAGCTTGCTGCAGATAACTTGTAGCATCCCTATTAAAACATTTATTTTTAAACCTGTCAGTCATTAGTATGTGCTATTAATGCATAACTTGGAAGCTTATTCATAAATATGTGACATTTGGGTCACTGAATGAATTATAATTATAGGATTACGGATCGAATTTGGAAGAGTAGGGTATAATGTTTGGGAGCTGTTTTAATTTTTTTTTTTTTTAAATACCTTTCACTTATCTCCTTGCTTAACATTTACAAAGACCTCTTTCTTATCATAAAGTCCCTGTTTATCAAACAGTGATAGAGGAAGAAGTTGTTTACATTTTCAGAAGTACCAACATACATCACTTATGACAAAAAAAACAAGCACTCTATAAGAAATTCTCAATCACTGTCAATCATACATACTAAAATATACATAAACCAAAGCATGTGGTGTGAACTATATAAAATTCAAACTGAACACAGAATTACAACTATAACAAACAAAAAACAAATAATTACAAGTGACTCATAGGCCTATTTACACATCTCACCAAACTGCTGGAAAGGTAGGTAACCATAGAAACCTGACAGCCTAAATTCAGTACTTTAAAATTTGTATTTAGTTTAAAATGCTGAAAATTATGTTTCTATTTGACAAAATCCATACTTTTAAAGGCCTCAGTTTTTGTTTTGGTACTTACTGCTCAAAATTATTTCCTCTCTTGGTTACTTTTAGATTTGATTTTATCCAAGTAAAGATTACAGTTTATTTTTTGTAATATAAACTGTTAATACATTTTAATACTGCAAATTAATATTTCTAACATTTCTTTAATGATTGAAATTAAATAATGATCTAAACCAAACTCTTCTGCCCTTACTATTAAATGTTTTGCACATAGACTTTTCTAAGCTGCACACTAGCAAAAAAAAAAAAGAGATTACTCAAATTAACTGTTAAAGCTGAAACGCTAATAGCCTTTTCAACTTATAGTTCTTTTTCACTGACAATTACAATTTGCATGGCTTAAAATTTAATACTATGATTAGTACTAATGTCCTATATTTTACTTCATAATCTAAATGAGTAAAATATTATTTTTGTAGTTCACTGGCTCTTATACTTAGGCTGTAATGTTCAGTGTGTATTTCATTATGCAGATGAGCAATGGATGTCGTCTAACATGATTTAAATGGGTCAACAGTATTTTCCTATTCACATTAATCATCCAGACAGCCACAAAAAAAAAAAAGAAAAAAGAAAAAAAAAGCCTTGAAAACTAACCTAGGAAATCTCTCTTTATCACTGACTCTTCCCACTAGTCAAACGACAGCAAACACATGCTACAGGAGATGGGAGCCCCCCAACCCGGCACGCCGAGGCTGGGTGCTGCTCCG